GGTTCGATTCCCGGTCAGGGCACATGCCTGGTTGTGGGCTCGATCAATGACTCTCTCATCATTGATGTTTCTATCTCTCTCTCCCTCTCCCTTCCTCTCTCCGAAATCAATAAAGATATATATTTTTTTCTTTTTTTAAATATATCTTTATTGATTTCGGAGAGAGGAAGGGAGAGGGAGAGAGAGATAGAAACATCAATGATGAGAGAGTCATTGATCGAGCCCACAACCAGGCATGTGCCCTGACCGGGAATCGAACCTCCATTGCCTGGATCCTAGGCCGACGCTCAACCGCTGAGCCACGCCCGGCTGGGCAAGATATATATTTTTTAAAAATCTAGAATTCTTTCATTGTCTATAAAATAATAGTGATGAATACTTGTTGAACATAAACTATGTGCCAGGTATTAGGCTAAGTATGTGAATTACCTCATTTATTCCTCACAAAACCCTATAAAAATAAGTTTTATCTAAATCTACATTTTACAGATGTATCAACCAGCACTTACAGAGATTGCACACTCTTGGTCTCTGAGTAAGTAAGTGGAGAGGGGATTTGAATCCAAATAACCTATCCCTAGCTCCCACAGTATAAACAGCTGTGCTTTACCATCTCCCTTTAAGGTCAATTTCCTTACTATACCACACAGGCTCTTTCCTACCTCATCAGTATCAGTTTGTATCAATTTATGCTCCCATATTACCCTCTTTAATTCAATTACTAGACATGCCACATGATAGTATATGATCTGTTTTCATGCCTATTGCTCCCATAAATCCTTTGAAGGCAGAAACTTTTTTATTCATTTTTGTGTCCACAATGTGAACATAGTGTCTAGCCCAGAATAGGAGCTTATTTAATATGCATTACATAAATCACTGGATAATAGTGGCTACATATTTATGCCTCCTATCATTCTACAAGTTCTCTATTATCCTAGTGTCTGAATAAAAGAATGACTGACACATAGAGTATACAAACAAATATTTATTAAAAATGGATGAGCAAAATAAGGGATGTTAGCTTTGTTTCTTCAAAATGACTAACCCTCTATAAAGAGAAATCAGACCATAAACCTAAATCATAGGAGCATCACAACCCAGACAAGAAAGCAAGCCCCCCAAATTTAGGCAGTTTCTCACAGGGTTGGGTGAAACAACGGGGAAGTTAATTAATTGTGACATGGGAAAATAATGATTTAAGTGTAAATATAAGAGGCTAACACATATGGTAAAGAGCAGGAAGGACATGCATACCATTAACAAACAGAGAAACTAGACCAAATATTTGAATCATTTATCTAAAAGAGTTGAAGTAGGAATTTGGTTAAATTCTAGTTAATGGAGTAGGGGATAAAAGCTATTAGACAGAATATATCCAATGATGAGAATATAGGCTCTAATTTCAGAACTAAAACCCAATTACTCAAAGAACTGGGATAATGGCCTGCTAGTGTAGTCACTGTTGAGAACTGAGGAAGTATTATAGCATTGAAGTAGAGCTAAATCTCTTGATTTGGTAGGCTTAGAATCAAGGAAATCATTTCCTATCCAGTCATTCTCACTAGTATCTTTTTTTCATGTCCTTTCTTAGTATAATTTCAGGGACTGGATTGGAATGAGGAACTACTTTGGTTTACCCATAGTTCTTCTTAGTTTATTATGACCCTGGAACAACAGCCTTAAAAAACTGACTATGTGCCTTGGATATTGAGCAACTCTGCCTCAGTGCTTAAAAGTGCCTCAGCTTTATTAACTAGGTATGGGGCAGGCGTAGTAAGTGAGGATTCAGAGTGAATCTGTGATTAAAATGGATTTTCATATTATTCTAGGTTATGTAGAGGATTTTATGACAATAGCTCAATGGACAGAGTGAAGCTTCTCTAGTTACCCTTGATATCTTCATCTAGACATCTTTTATTTCTAAAACAACCTCTAATTATGACATCATATGCCTGTCAATGAAAACTGGTATAATTATAAGAGAGTTCTACCAATATTTTAGTCATATACTGTCTCCTCTGAATGTTCACATTTTATAAAGTGATCAGACTAAATTACATACCCCATTTCTTGCTTCATTTTTCTTGACAGGAAATGGTGCTGATATACTGATTTCTCTTCCTTCCAAGGAATAATGATATTCCCCAGAGCATATCCCAGTTCCCTTATTAAAAGAGCAAGAGTGCACAGGTGGGATATAAATACCAATAGCAAAACAGAGTTAATCCAGCGTATCCATCCAAGCCAGAAATAAGAGCATAAACTCAACAGCACATGACTGGGGATAAGAAATGGGGAAGCTGAGACCTGTGGGTAGAAATATCAGGCAGAGGAGAATACATGCCAAGAGTTGGGTAGAGTCAGAGGAATCATAGTGGGAAATAAATAAACGAGTCCTTAAGAATCTTTGGCAAAACTTGAAAACAGGTTAGAGCTGGAGCTGAGAAAAAGAACCATAACCCAAATGGCCCATGATATTCTCAGCATGAGGTAGGTCTGTATTCAAGCATGAAATTGGACTATCTGTGGAGATGGAGCTAAGCTGGTTCAGCTGTATGTACCACAAGAATGGAGAATAAGGTCTCAGACTAGTAGAAAAGGTATCATATAGTCTAAACCTATGATTTAGCAAAAAAAGGGAAATGATGTAATATCACGGCTCGTATAAAATCAGGTCAATGGTAAAGCAGGCACATTTTCCATTGTATGTTGCTGCCTCATATACTCAGCTGTTCATCCATCCAACCATACATTCCTCCAACCAACCACTGAGCAGTCACACATGCAAGAATCTCTTGTTAAGCAACTTCTGAATGTCAATTTCTTACTGGGTCTCTACCTCAGAATTTTACAGTCTAGCATCAGATAATTACATGTAAAGAGGTAAACACTGTAAATTGTGATAGAGTGATAACTATGTTTCTGTAGAGTTTACCTAGTTCATACTAGTTAAGAATGATTGTTTTTTTATATTCCAAAAAGAGCAAAAACAGAACAGCTGAACAAACAAAAACTCACAGAAGCAAACAACAGATCATTGGTTATGATAAGGGGAGTGGAGGGAGGGGCAAAGTAAAGGGGTTCAGTTATATGGTGATGGATAGAAACTAGACTTTAGGTGGTGAGTGTGATGCAGCACATACAGATGTTAAATTATAACGTTTCACACCTGAAACTTATATAATGTTACGGGCCAATGTTACCACCATACAAATAAAGTAAAATAATTAAAAATGATTGGGAGAAAAATTAGTTTCCCCCCTATTTTTCTTTTACTCATAGAATCAGAAACACTGTTAAGCACTCAGAATTTCTTGCCTTTTTGTTGAATAACAGGATACTTTTACTGATCAAATAGCCTTGAAGGCAAATGAAGGTGATATTTACTTTCTGAAACACTTACATAACCTTCAAATATATTTAGAGATATGTAAAGGAGTAAAATGTAAAGGAGTAAAACTATCCACCTATTCTCAGTATAAGTAAATTTGAAAATAAGAAAAAAATCAATGATTCACAATAATACAGTAGACAGACAAAATATTATCATCACTGATCTGCTG